TTTCATATGCTTGTTGGCCATCTGCATTTCCTCTTTGGAGAAGTGTCTTTTTAGCTCTTCTGCCCATTTTTTGATGGGGTTGTTTATTTTTGTTGTTTCATCAGTTCTTTGTATATCTTTGTGATCCGTCCTTTATTGTTAGTTTTGTGTGAGAAAATTTTTTCCCAATCAGCTGGATGTCTGTCTGTTTTTTGTAATGTCTCTTGCTGTACAGAAGTTCTTTAACTTGATGAAGTCCCATCACTACACTATCATTGCATTGGGTGCTGTTTCTTCAGAGATGTCACTGAAGTGTATGTTATGTAGTGTTTGGCCTATCTTTGCTTCCAGGTATTTTATGGTTTCCATTCTTATGTCTAGGTCTTTAATCCACTTCGGGTTAATTTTTGTGTATGGTGTGAGGTAGTGATCTAGTTTCCCTACTTCTTTGTTTTTATTACTGTTGCTGAGCACACCGAACCATATGAGGGCTGGTGAGTAAAAGTAAACTTTAAAAAGGTTTCTTTTTAAAGACCAAAACTCACATCCTACCACAATGTTGGAGGGGGTAGGCAGTGTGACTTAGAGGAGCTTAACAGAATTAAACAAAGTTGTAAAGTATTTATGTTTAGGAGTTAATAAAACTACACAAAGTTCCGTTTTATATAATTTAATTTTCAGTTAATTGAAATAAATAGAACTTGGTGTTTCTGACTGGGAAATTTATTAAATTTTTAAATAGGTGTTAGTAGGGCCTTCCTGGTGACCTACACTAACACCCTGAGGGCCTGAGTTCAACCTCAGTCAGAATTAACTCCCAGATGGTGTAGCAGACCTCTTCTGACTCACCTGCTACTCCTCTCAGCAGTATATATCAGTAAATCCACCTGCTCTCTTCCATTCTCATCCTCCACACCTCTAGCTTACACCCCAGTTCTTCAATGCAAAAATAAGTAAAATCTTAAAAAAGAAAATAATTGTTACTATGTGAACTTCATTATATATACAATGGTATTTTATTTCTTTAAACTTAATAATGGAATTGTTTGTCAGTATAGACTGATTCTTTTTGTTTGTGGTTTCCCCCCCTCCTATCCCCCACCCCTAGGAATTAGCTCTCCGTAGCCAGTTGCCAACACTGGAGCAGGATGGTGGGACTCAAAATCCAGTGTCATCTCCTGGGATGTCTCAGGAACTGAGAACAATGACGACCAATAGCTCAGATCCCTTTCTGAACAGGTTGGTGAGAATTGGCTATTATGCACTGTCTGAAAAAGTTCATGGCTTTAAGATGATTCTGCTTCGTGCTTGTAATAAGCTGCTTGATATCTGTGTGGGCCAAAACCTGTAGCTGTAAATGAATCTCTCCATAAATGGCAAGTACAATAAAAGTGGAGGATTAAAAAGCCTCTCCTGAGAGAGGAAGTGAGCTGTTCAGACTTGCTGAAGGGTTGCTTATACATAGTCACGTGTGTGCTTTTGCTAGTGCTGTTGACTAGCAGTTACTTAAAACTACACAAAATCATGAAGGAACATGTGAACACTTCTCTGTACAAGCAAATGAACTGCATCTTAAACCTACTCAGGGCTGTATTGTCAGGATCACTGGAGGAATTTTCCACCTGAGTGTTTGACCTGACTGGTTTCACACAGCAGCCTTGTGTTCTTAAGAGCTATGGTTCAAGGAGATAAAATGAAAAGTTGTGCCTCTTTGAAAAATATGCATTAATATTAAAGGTAGTGTTTGAAAATAACATAGCTTAAAGATGCTTTTTTAAAAAAGTGAGTTACCACAAATCTTAGGTTTCAGGCAGATTGCAAAAGTATTTTTAAATATAATGCTATGTTGAAAGCTGCAAGGTGAAACAGGTCATATTCTTTGTCTAGAAAGCCATGTAAAATTAGGGCTTGACTAAAATTCATTTGTGTAGGTTGTAAGTGATCTATGGAGATTCAGATTTTTCAAATACTGAACAA